CTGTATACTAATAATTACTATGTTGTGTTGATATCAGCTCAACTAATGTAGCTAAACTGTATACTAATAATTACTATGTTGTGTTGATATCAGCTCAACTAATGTAGTTAAACTGTTTACTAATAATTACTATGTTGTGTTGATATCAGCTCAACTAATGTAGCTAAACTGTTTACTAATAATTACTATGTTGTGTTGATATCAGCTCAAATAATGTAGCTAAACTGTTTACTAATAATTACTGTTGTGTTGATATCAGCTCAAGTAATGTAGCTAAACTGTTTACTAATAATTACTATGTTGTGTTGATATCATCTCAACTAATGTAGCTAAACTGTTTACTAATAATTACCATGCTGTGTTGATATCAGCTCAACTAATGTAGCTAAACTGTTTACTAATAATTACCATGTTGTGTTGATATCAGCTCAACTAATGTAGCTAAACTGTTTACTAATAATTACTATGTTGTGTTGATACCAGCTCAACTAATGTAGCTAAACTGTTTACTAATAATTACAATGTTGTGTTGATATCAGCTCAACTAATGTAGCTAAACTGTTTACTAATAATTACTATTGCACTTTATGCACTTTTTCAATTATATGTTTCATAATTTTGTTTCATCCAAATGTTAAGTAAAACATCCTACTTTTTCATGGCTGCGGGTCTTAATATAATAGATGTTTTCAGGTACAGAAACTTAGGATTATATTACTTTTTTTTAGTTCTTAAATATTGTACCTGAAAATGTAATATAAATTCAACATAGTACTGAACCTGTAACAAACTAAAAATACAATAAAATACCATTCTGTGGGATTTTTCCTGTAAATTTGCATCATATTACATGATTAAAAATTACTGTCTTCAAATTTCATATGATAAAACTAGTAAAGATTTTTGTTACAAATATTGTATAATTCAGTGAAAATAATTCACTTTGATCCTGGAAAAATAAACAGTACATTGTTTACCTATTTGGCAAGAAAACTTGTGACACTAGATTACAATGATACACAAAGAAGAAATCAAAGTCTTATAAGAAATGTTAAAATTTTGGTAATACCAAAATAATTGAATTATTAATGTTTCAGTTTTTTTCTAATTCCATTATGAGTGTGAAAACAAAAAAATAATTAACTTTACGCACAAAAAACACTAGTTTTTAAGTGAAAATATGCAGATATGGATGGAAGTTTAGAAAAAACACATTAAAAATATTTAAATTTTACTGAACAAGTTGGAAGAAACTATAGAAACACAGGCATGATGAAAATTTAATAAATTTAAAGCTTTCTGTACAAGATAGGCAATGTTTAAGAAGCACATGAAGACTGTCAAACTTTTGTTTTCCCTTTTCAGTGCTTCCTATCTAGCTAGAGCTAGTGATAATTAAACAAAGTCCTGTTTGTGTAAATAGGTTTATGAATTAATGATGTCATATACTGTTAGATTGTTATCAGTCAAAGTCCAACAGTTTTCAACAAACATGATTAAATGAAAACGCTATTCGGTAATAAAATTTTTTGAGAAAGAATAAACAATAATCAATATAAATTTTCTGTCACTTTTTCTTATTAAAGCAATCTTACTTTAAGTAACACTGGTTATGTTTGTAGCTTGTAACAAGTAGGTTGTATATTTAGTTAAAGCTAAACTTCAGGCATTACTGAAGCTATTTACGTAACAAAGTCACATCTTCACATTCACAACATTTGTACATACCATTTCACACGGTAACATTAATAGAATTGTTATAAGATATGTTCAGTGGATGTGTATCTGAAGCTGAAAATGTTTGAGTTATCCTGTTCCTTAGTAAATACTAACCGAAATGTTGATGGTGGGTGCTGCTAGCTGGCTGCCTTTCGTTCTAGCCAGCAGTTCAAAATAAGGGCTTAGCAGACAGTCTTAGTAGCTTTTGTCATATTTCAAAAATAAATAAATATAATACCCCCAGAACTGAAAGGTTAAGTATGGTTAGTGGCAGCAGGAATCAAACCCATGACACTCAAATCAACAGGATGTTCTGACCCAAAGCTGAATAAATTTGAATTTGTCAAAAATATAATAATGAGAAAAGATGTGGACTTGGTATAATCAGATTTTCTAAAAGCTTTTTATAAGGTGCCAACACAATAATAGCTACGAATGTCAAAGTATTAGGGACTAGCAGAAAAGCCACCCTATGAACAGCTGTTAGGTCAGGATCTTAGCGAGATGAATGGTGTGCTTCTCTGTCACAAAATTGCACCTGACTTCTTCTAACTTCATCTTCACAAGCACTTTCATGTGCTTCTGTATTTAGAGTTTGTTCCTGGCTTATTCTCATTGGATCTTGCCTAACAAATTGGTGAGCAAACCTATCTCTTTCTTGATCTTTCTTTCAATAATTTTATTTCTCAAATTTTCAGGCTGACTCCGTGATAAGTCACTTTTCCATTTGGCATTGTAATTTTGATGTTTTTGATCACTTTATACTCATACTGAAGTAAAAAAAATACTTGTGTAGCTTACAAAGACCATGTTACTAAAAAATTCCTGCAAATTTGAATGCAATAAACTACATATGAAGGATTTCAATTCCTTCAGTCACAGAACAATTCAATTCATATCGTACACTTGGATTCTCCAGCAGAAAAAGTCACTTTTCTTCTGAAATATCACAATGATTCTCTACTAGGAAGACTCACTTTTAAATTCTACATTAAACTCATTTTACCACAATTTTAGAAGTTATATTTAAAAAATTAATTTCACTGATAATAATAATAATAAGTGTACAAAATTAATGTACATTAATAAATAAGAAAGAAATACCATTTCTCCCTTAAGGAAGTAATTTAGGAAAACATTTTATAAAATAAGGTCCTACTATTTTTAAATTTTAGTGAGGGTCTATTTTATTATATTTTTTATTTTGGTGCGATATAAAGCTGTTATTGACTTATTTCTTAAATAAAAAAAATGGACACATGCGCTAAATAAACTTGTTTAGAAGAGATCCAATTTAATGAAATTTTGTTGGGAACTTCCCCTTATAATGTTAAAAATCATGCAAAGTTTCATCCAAATTCAACTTAAAGTTAAACTGTGGGAGGAGTTTTGTGGACAGACAGACATTAGCTTCATATATATACACACACACATATCTTAGGAATTGACTAGTTGACCCAAATAAAAGGTTGTTATTAAAGAAGCCTAATCAAACTGGATCCTTGTAACTAGTGAAATACCTCAAGGGTCAGTGTTCGAGTCTTTCTTTTTTCTATCTTACATCAATGGTATCATTGGGAGAATAAATAGTAAGTTGATAAAGTTTGCTGATGACATTAAACTCTTGGCTATTTCTAGCTGTAGTGAAGATGCTGAGGTATTTCAGTATGGTTTATAAAAATTGGCAAGTCAGATAAATACTTGGTAAATAACTTTTAATTATAGTAAGCACAAGGTAATGGTTCTAGACTATCATCATTAGAAATACACACTTAATGGAACCCACTCAGCTGCATGACTGAAGAAAAAGGTATTGGAATGGTGGTAGAATGATTTGTTAGAAAGGATCTAGAAGGTTACTAAGATGATTACAGAGACAGAAAGGCTATCTTATAGGGATAGTTCGAGTTCACTTAAATTATTTGTCCTTTATTTAAGAATGGTAAGAGGTGATCTTATTAAAGTTTATATAATTACCCAAGGAGACTGATGGTATAATGGCCTCTAATGCTTTTATGCTGAATTCTTAGATAACAGATCCAGAGGATAGATGTTAGTAGATTTGGAAAGACAGGCTATGTTCCAATTTTGACCATTTTATTCTTCTACAAGGGTGCTCAGATTAGAGAACTTATTGACATCCACAGTAGTGGAGGACAGCACTTGACAAGAGTTTAAGAGAGAATTCTTTGATTTCTTAAAAAATAAATGGTGGATTTACATGTTTTACTTTTCTCAAAGGTGGGTGTACAAGGACAGCACTGAAAAACTGAATGGTTCCTTGTTCATGTTGTTGTTCATATATTATGGTCAAATTTATTTCCTGTTCTTCTTCTTTATCAAAACATGATAAGTGAAAATAAATCTCAGTCAAATACACTACTGCAACTTACATTAACAATTATAAATATGATTTTGTTTGGCTTAACATTAAAATATAATTTTATAAAATGAGTCCTGACTTTTATTGGTTTTAGAAATTAGACTTTTGGGCTAGTGCAAATATGAAAGCTCTGGTGAAATTTATTATTACGATCATACTAGGGTATAAACTGTATAGTTTTAGTTTTACACTATATTAATTCTGAAGGTATTTCTTTCATCTACGTTACTTCGCTACTTGTTACTAATACTATATCACATTGTGTGTAAGTTGTAAATGTGATATAGTATTAGTGTGAACTTATGACTGAAAATGCCTTCACTCTTAATACTATTACTAAGTCTCACTCTTAGTAGTACTATTAGACTTAATCTTAGTACTACTAAGATTCATAATTCAATTGTAAAAATGGCGACAAGGAACGTAAAACTTACCATGTGTATCTTTCTGACATACATCATGCGTTCGTAATAATACTGCAACTTGTCTAACATCACCTGCAAATGTTCTTTCGTGTAATGGATATCTCCGAATTAAATCGTCCATTGTATAATTCTCACATCATCTCATTCTGACGAATCGTATAGTGCAGAATTTGTTCACCAGATGCCACTTTCATAAAATATCTTTTGTTATTTATATTTTATTTATTTATTTTTGTTTTTCCTTTTGTTATTGGTAATGCTATTTTTGTTTATTTACGGCAGAAGCATAGTTTCATCTGTTTTACATTTTGTTTATTTTTTTTTTACTTTTTACTTTTTTTGTTGATTTGTAGATAAAATGTTTTCTTTCTTCTGTATTTTGCTTTCGTGTATTCACATTTCTAGCCTTTTTTTTGTGTGTGTTATCAAGTAATTATTTTTATAAAATTAATATTAAATTCTGATGAGAGCAAACTACCTACCTAAAGCGATAATAACAATTAAAATGGTAATGAGTATAGCTAATTGAATATACTTTTCTTACATTCTTCCTGAAAAGATCAGAATACCTTGTTTCATCCGTTGGAAATCCTCACTATTAACAATATTTTCCTTCTTAAACTCAATAGTATATCACGAGGTTCGGCCAACTTAAGAGACTTAGATTAGTTATAAATTCATTTATTAATTTTTTATTTGCTTTAACATTCACAATTAACAAACTGTTTTAAAATTACACCAATAAGTAGACTTTAATATCAGAGGAAATTAAGATTTGCTTAAATTAATGCGTTTGAGCATTTACTTTTAATTTAACTTATTGTGGTTATTTTACATTCTGATTTAACTTGATTTTATTTTATCTCATAGGGCAGGGGGATCATACTGAACTGGCTGAAGAAAGTGTTTTAGATACAAGCAGAAATACCCGCCCTCCGGGCAGTTATTACTGCTAGTTTCTGCGGAAGGCTATTAGGCCTCTGGCTTTTTTCTGAAATTGTCTGACAGTTCTACAACAATGTACTCATACTTGACATTCAATAATGTTCACCATACATGGGAAAAAGGATTTTATTGAAATTTTAGTTTTAAAATGTGCTACCATCACAGAATTATATCACAGAGTAGATTTTATTGAAGTATTTCTTTGTAGACGCAGTTACCAATGAAAGTTCCTTGCTTTTCTGTTGCAAAACTCACATGATTTTCATTAAAGAAAATAAATATATTTTGTAGTTTGTTTCTGATTGTTTTATGATTTGAAACTTACTACTTTTTGTAATTTTTATTGGTTAAATCTGAAACATATCGTTTTTTTGTTTTTTTTGTAAATTTCTAATTG